TAATAATAAGATCTCCAAAAATATCCCCACCTAGATAAGATTAGATTGTTGTTTTTTTAAAGGTAGACGGATGTAATTCAATTTTTAGCTAAGGTTCTAAAAAGGAGCCTAAAAATTTTTTTTTTTGATAATTTTAAAAAATGATTTGAATTTAATAACAAAATTATAAAAATAATTTTTTAATTAATATATTTAAACAAAAATAAATTTTTTTCATTTATATTAACCAATAAAATTTGAATTTAAACAAAAAAAACATTTTGAAGACGAAATACTTATATTAATCTAAGTTCATTTACAAGTATATGAACCCTACACACTTCTTAGTTAAAAGTAAACTTAAAAAATAGTTTGTGCAGTGTGTATGTGTGTGTGTGTGTGTGTGTGTGTGTGTGTGTGTGGTGCGGTATGACCAAGCTATTCAGTGCCCTACGACTCTGGGGGTACATTGTATATCTCTGTACAGTTTTCAAAAATTAGATATTTTCCGACCCCCACCACTCTACTCTCACTATTGTTAACAAATTGCAATATTGGCAAAAATATATTTACTCTAGGGATTTAAAAATTTAAAACTTAAAAACGAAATAAAGTGAAATGTCATTTTAAATATACAATACAGGAATGGAAACAGATATGCAGATATAGGTGGAATATGTTAATAGATTGATATCATGACGTATAACCTGGAATCGAATACACTCATTAAATAACCAGATTTCAACTTTTAAAAATTTTTATATTCAAATTTTATTATTGTTATTATTATGCTATTATTGGTTTTCACTCTGTTGGCATTCATCAGAGGAATTTGCATTAAACTGATTTTAAATTATTTAAAACCTGTCAATATAGAAAATTTGCAAATGCACAAAAAATGTCCCCAAATTGTCAATATCAATCAAAATGTCATCTTAAAACATTTTATAGCTGTTGAATCGTGTGAATTGAGCAAACGCATGCAACAAAAATGATGCGTTAAAAAGCATAAAATTCCTCGGGCCTGAAAACGCTTTTTTGTAATAAGAATGTATGTGTGTCTGCCTGATGTACTTATGTATGTATGTATGTATGTATGTATGTATGTATGTATGTATGTATGTATGTATGTATGTATGTATGTATGTATGTATGTATGTATGTATGTATGTATGTATGTATGTATGTATGTATGTATGTATGTATGTATGTATGTATGCATGTATGTATGTATGTATGTATGTATGAATGTATGT